TTTGTTCTATCGATTTCCTTTTTGTTAGCATCAGCAATCTATGGGTTTACAGGCACATCTCTTGGACTCACCTGCAGTGGACGACAACAGGCCCCACTGCATGGCGCTTGGCATGGGCTGCCTTTCTCACGAAGGTCAGCACGGGCAGTGAGTACTCTGGTACCCCCATGTCAGGCCACTGAGTGTAGTGATACTGGGTGACCACACGCCCACTGGGTCTTCCTTTCTGGGAGCCCTGGAAGAGTTCAGACAGCTAATAACAGTAACACACACATATGTGGGATTTTTTTTTTTATTTTAGAAAATTATGGGGGTTCTTAAACATCAAGTCAGGATTCACAGCTTGATGTTGGCAGTCTATAATGAAGCAAAAAATATACAATGTCATTTGTGATAGTGAATTTTGCATCCACGTGGCTAAGAGGCTATGGTGGCCAGTTTGATCAAACACTAGTCACACCAGATGTTGCTGTGAAGGTATTATTTAGATGTAATTAACATGTAAATCAGTAGACTTTGAGTAAAGCAGATCACCCTCCATAAGGTGGGTGAGCATCATCCAGTTAGCTGAGGGCTTTAAAGAGTAAAGTCAGAGTTTTCCTGAAGAAGTAATTCTTCTCAAGACTGCAATGTGAAATCCTGCCTGAATTTCCAGCCTGCTGCTCTGATGAATTTGGACTCTAGACTGCAACATCAACTCTTACCAGCCTACCTGCCTTACAGATTTCAGATTTCTTAATCCCCACAATTTGTGTCAGTCAATCCTTAAAAATATAAATCTCTCTATATATCTATCTATCCTATTGGTTCTGTTTCACTGGAGAACCCTGAATAATACATTCTTCTTCTTTTTTTTTCCTTTTCCTTATTTCAATCTCCACTCTTTTTAGCTGGATGTTAGGATTATGTCAGAGCTATCCTGTGCAGTTACCACACGAGGCAGGGATTTGCATTTGCATATCCTACCCACTGCAACCACAAGCACCATGACCAATCTGGCTCCAAAGCCACAGCTGGCATTTAGAGACGTGGCAGAAACCTTTGGGACCAAGGTGTATCTGTGATAAGGTTTTTTTTTTTTTTAACCCCGTCTTGGTTGTATCACCCATTCACTTAAAAAAGGACCAAATGCATTACTCAACTGCTTATGTCCATCATTTGTTGACTCACCTTTTTTATCTTCGTGTTTCTCAGAGTAAAATTCCTCACAGTATAATAGGCAAGCACTTGAACGCTCTTCTGAGTGACCAGAAAGTTCCCATACTCTTCACTACCATCAGCAGGCCAGTACTGATCACATTTTCTCTGCAAAAGAAAAAGTAAAGATGCTATTTCTGTATTTCAAATGTTCAGTATAAAAGTTGTCCTGGAAATCAGTAAAGGCCTGAGATAGTGAAAGGAATGAACTTCCTCATCCCTCTAAGTATTTTATTTTCTTTCTAAGCAATTGCAAATTATTTATAGAAGATACCAGGGATGAAATAACATAGCTGAAAAAGACTGAGATGATGTAGTCCAAACTTCCCCCTTTCAGATGAGGACAGAGAGATCAGATGTATCAGGTTACCGCAGAGCCAGGACTAAAATCCAGGTCTAGTGAATTAAAACCCATTGCTTTTCATTGAGTCCCATTTACTTTTTTTCACAGTATGAATGCATTTAAAAGGTAAATAGCTTGATTCATAGTGAAATCTTTTCATTTATAATGTTAATAGTTGCCCTTTAGCTATGGTGTTTCCTGGAAAGGATTCCCAATTAGCTTTCATCACTTTTGCTGCTTTCTAATGCTACTCTATTAAAACGAACTTAAAGCATCTCTAATGACTACTTCAGGGATGACATAATAGATTAGCTACAAACCCTTCCTTTCTCCACGAGGTTCGTTATCATGACAATGACTTCCACGTTATGCTCCCATATCATTCTCCAGAAGTCTTCGGCTGTGGATTTCAGTGGACCTTGGGCAGCAATGTAAGCTTTTGGTCTGTTGTAGCCCTGAAGAAATACATGATAAATGTTTCTTACTAACTGATGTATATGCCATCTTTAACTGTAAAACACTTAAGTTTTTAAGGTCAGCAGCAAACTTTTTCTATAAAAGAAAACCATAAAAAGTGTACTGGCAAAGTTGGAGAAACTTGATAGCATTAGCAAGAATAGCAACTCTTCTTTAACTATGATTTTGTAAAAAACAAA